ACGAATGGTGGCTACGGCTAGAACGGCGGTCAAAACGGATCAATGGATTAATCTGCGTTATTTTTTTAACGCGTTATTTCTTCTCAGATTAATTAATCGAAATTAACGCGTTATTTTGACAGCCCTAGAAAATAATGAAGCTCGTCTTTAATCTGCTAAATTATTGTTTTGTGAATCAGTCATGAAATTAAGATAACACTGATAGGCTACCCGGCCATAGCAACGGAAGAATTTTTTCAAAACATTGAACAAATCAGAAAAGACTGATTTTGTTAACTTGGCTACACAAAATAACTAAATAATACTAAATAGTATTGATTTCAATATAAAAACAAATGAAAATGTAAAAACACTAAAAGTTTGAAACCCCATAAGTGTCGGAACAATTTATTCATTTAAACAGGGTTGCATTGAGTTTACAGTTTATTTCCTTTGCGATGCAAAATAAGAAACACAGAATCTTATTCTTGCAACATTTTAAATCTGTATTGCCAAAGAAATTGCAGCTAAATTAAACAATTAAAACAGTACAAAACGATAATAGTCCTAAGCGACATAAATTAAGAACATGTGTTTTTCTTTGCCTCTCTCTCGCGCTGGATCTCTTTTTGGCAAGTTAATTTTGTCTCCCTCCCTCCAAAAAAACTGTAACAAATTATTTAGCCTTTGTTACTTCAAAGACACAGCATGCCTTGTTGAATTCACCTTACAATAAAACGAGGTTGATCGCGAATTAAAGAGCTCTGTTTCTGCCACAATTATAGGCCTATTTATAATTAATTAAAATATAGGGCATTGGACACATCGAGAGATGTATCCTTAAAAGAACTGTGCCTTTGCCTGCTCATCGGGCTGGCTATCCGACATCTCCATATGAAAGACGAACATTAACACCTTTTGTCCTGCGCACGATAAAGCCACTGTCCCTCCAAACCCCCCACAGGCTAGTCTGAGACTGACTTAAAGAAAAGTCGCAATTCACACTTAAACCGCTATTCAGGCATTAGGCTATTAAAGTGTTGATAATGAAGGAATTAAATAATGTAAGCTACATGTAGTGATATTTCTGTCATGAAACTTATTACTAAATATCATTTCAATAATTCGTTCAATTTCAATACGTTTTTCTTTTTCTTTTTTATTCAAATAAATCTCGAACCACAGTGCTTCGTGGTCCTGCTGTTAAACTAAATAACATTTATAGAATAATTATGAACTTAACAGAAACAATATCGCAACATTTCGACAAATAAATTATTTGATCTGTTTTTACATTTTATTTCAGGGCGATTTAGCCTACATTTAATTAGAGCGAGATTTCCCCCCTTGCCTTGTCCTTTCCTCATTGGGAAGCGCTCACATCATAGCATGTTTGAGTAGATCCTCTGTACCTCTCAGTTTCAGATGGATTACATAATCAGATAACATTTATTAAACATTTAGACATTTAAATGCTTTAGATAGCCTATAGCGATTTCTTATCGTGACTGAGCGGAGGCAAGTGGCTTTCGGTTCATTTTTGTGACGCGCAGTTCCCGGAGACAGAGACGAGAGACGGAGACGACAGCTAAAATTTAGTTATTAGCCTAATATGAATAAAAGTTTACAGTTTTGAACGATGTAGGCAAAAAAATACGGAGTAGCCTATTAACTTATTTTAGCTGTTATGAGAAAAATAAATCCAAGTGAAAGCGCCGCGCGCGTTTGTCGAACTGAAACGCTGGTTTTGATTTTATTGTTTGTCGTTTAAACGTGCCTGTTGCATATCTTTATTTTATATATTGTAATTTGTATATGGTCTATTGGTGAAGTAGCCTATTAGCATTGATTACTGTGGAGGAAGGGGGTGGGGGATTCAAATAATTCAGCAGAAGCAGGGATGTTTAGACCAGAAGGAAATCCCCCCAAATCGCTTAAAACCTTGCTTAAAACCATGTTTTAAAAACTCCATGTAGGGAATCCAAAAATATATATAGCCTATAGTAGGCTATATATTTATTTCTTTACAGAACTGCTTTTGAAATGACGACTGGTATTATTATATAGATGTAAAGTCATTCTGGTGGATACTAGGCTATATGTTCCAATGTAAAATGGAAATGCATGGAATTTTATTTGATAAATAGCCTCTAAGCAAAAACTATAGGCTATGGTGTAACAGAGTTTTAGAACTAGACAAATCTCTCTCTCTGCATTACTAATAGGATATAAAATGCATTAATAGGCTAATATAAAATTTACAAAAGTCCAATATTTTTCGAGATTTGAACCCGTGTCATCTTAATGATCAAACCGCAAGTTCTACCACTCGGCCATGAATTTACTCACTGAAAAGACAAAACGTTTGTTTCTCCAGTGTGTGTTCGCTCACAAGAGCGAGAAAACGTTTGATCGTTAACCTATTGTAGACCTTTTACAGTTTTAAAAGATGATATTTTATCTGTATGACCGAAAATTACGGAGTAGGCTATAGCCTTTTAAGTTTTTTTTAGCTGTTAAAAAAATAAGTTCAAGTGAAAGCGCCGCCGCGCTTGTCGACCTCTAATTCAACATGCCAGAATAAAACCCGATTTTAGAATAATGTGTGCCAAAACACTTAATTATAAACTTCAATATTTCGTTCAAAAACATCTCAAAACGCTTTGTGACATTTTGAAAAGCCGTGAATGTATTAAGCCAAGGCCACTGGAACCAGGATCGTCACTGAAACGCGCTGCATGTTATCTCTCAATAGAGGAGCAGAAGCGCCGGTTCAGATTGTAGGCCTATTGTTTGTTGTTCAAACGTGCGTGTTGCATATTTAAAAAAATATTTGAAATGGTCTATTGGTGAATTAGGCTATAGCATTGATTACTGTGGAGGGGGGAATCCCCCACCAGCAAATCGCACCTTAGGCTACACAACCATGTTTTTAAAAACTCTTTCTATAGCCTATTTAAAATCCCATGAAGTTTTTTATTTATTTTTTTAACAACTTCTTTTGAAATTACGATTAGAATTATTATACAGATTGATATAAATTCAGTCAATCTGTTGGATGATAGCCTATTTGTTCATTTGTGTAAAACGGAAATTGTATTTTATAAAAACCGTGTTTATTCGGGATTTGAACCCGTGTCATCTCAATGATTGAAACCTAAGTTCTACCACTCGACTTATCTCGCTGACTATTGCCCAGAAGATAGTTCAGCAGTCAGTGTGCGCGCACACGAGAGAAGCGATCTTCACTCCTCTCATTCCTCAAAAGTTTAGCGACATTGCACCTAATTTATTTTCACTGACTGCGAGATAGGCCTATTTCAACTTTTGATTAATAAAATGTTATGCTCTAAAAGTTTGTTATATTCTGTTTAGAATGTACTTTTACTTAATTACGTTTTGCTTTCGTTAAATTTAACCGACTCTGTTAGCCTAGGCTAAATTATTTCTATTTGTATTATTTTTTTTGTTCTAAAAGTTTGTTCTATTCTGTTTCGTTTGTTTATTTTTATTTTATTTTTTACATATTCAATCAGTCTCATTCTTGTTTTTTTACAAGACCTTTTTTAATAAACAGATAGCCTACAAACAGAGATATATAATAGTTCGTACAAATAAACGTGTATAGCCTATAGCTACTACTACTATGCAGGCTATAGGCCTACTATAAATTGTATGATCGTATGTTTAAATAACATTAACCAAATTGTCTGTCTTTAATTAATAATACAATTATTACCTTAACATGCAGTTTCAACTTATTAGCCCCGCACTTACGTTTCAAAATGCGGCTGTTTTGCTAAATGCCCCTTTGCGCCCCTGTTTGCGCCACCTGGTGGTCATTTCGCGAACAACTTTGAAATGCGACTAGTTTATTTTTGCCGCGGTGAATTTGCCGCGGCACGAGTCGCGGCGGTAATAGGCATTCTGGTTGAGTACCTACTGTATGGACTTATCTAACTCTGGGGGATAAGGTGAATAGGCTAAAGTCCCAAAAAGTCGGAGTGTTCCTTTAAGTTGATCGTAGAACAATTGCCACCAATGGTCTCTACGATTAACTTAGGCTTACGATGCTTTTGGGAAACACAGTCCTGAGCGATGACTGATGACGTCACATGCTCAGATTTACTTGACCAATCAGCGGAAGGGGGCGTCTCATGACCGCCCACATGTGGAAAACTAATTTTGAAGTCATGTATTCGTTTTTTGCCTTGCCTGTGAACGAAAAAACGAAAAAATCAAGCCGAAATCTCCTTTTTTCGTTTAAAAAAAAAAAAATGAAAAAACGAATAAAGGTGCCGTTTTCTCATTTCTGCTTATTTCATTTCAAATTGGAAATCAAATGATCGGATGATACACTGACCCATTACGTACAGGTTTTATTCGCTTTAAAGCCGTTGGATGGAAACACACTTTCACCAGCTTTATTCGCATGAGTTTTTTTTTACCGAACTTCAGATAATTCGATTGACAAGTGGATGGAAACTTGGCTAGTAAAGACATTTATAATGATACAGATTTATACTTCAAATAAATGCTGTTCTTTTGAACTTGCTATTCATCAAATAATCCTTAAAATACGAATCATGGTTTCCATAATAATATTAAGCAGCACAACTGTTTTCAACATTGATGATAATAATAATAAAGGTTTTTTGAGTAATGATGCTGAAAATTCAATTACATTAATAAATTACATTTTAAAATATATTCAAATAGAAAACAGATATCTTAAGTTGTAATAATATTTTACAATATTATTTACTGTATTTTTAAAATCAAATAAATGCAGCCTTGGTGAACATGAGACCCCAAACTTTTGAACAGTCTAAATGTAAATTAGCATTTCTCATTTCATGATACATTCTCATTCAGGGCGAGAAAGGGACACCACGTCTTCATATACAGCTCATGACATCCTGATGCTCTGAATATCACGCGTTCATACCATTTTAGATTTGCAATTTTGTTTTGCTGCTATTGCAAGTAATAATGTAACTGTATTTTTCTCTCTCTTGCAGGTATAAGGATCTCCTGGAGCCGTCCAGCCCTGTGAAGTTGCCTCCTCTCTGCACGCCCAGCATGGACGGCCACTTTGCCAAATCTGTTCAGAGAGAGCAAAGTCTGCACTCTTTTCACACACTTTTCTGTCGCCGCTGCTTTAAATACGACTGCTTCTTGCACCGTAAGACATAATGTTCTTCTCTAGTCTGCAATGCAAATTATTTTGATGTTTTATATTATATTGTATATGTGTCTTGATCAGTGAATCAAACATACAGTTAGCTGTTTAAAACACCCATTAAAGTTAGTCTCAAATGATCTGATCACAAGTGGTGACCCAAGATTTATACTACAAATGTGAGGTAGTCACACATGTTTTTGACTGCCTCCAAATGGGGTTTTGGCCCTTGTTTACCATTGTATTTAGTGCTGACCACTTCATGTTGTTTGTGCTCAGCTTTCCATGCATCTCCTAATGTATATAAGAGGAAGAATAAAGAGATCCGAATGGAGACAGAGCCCTGTGGACTGGACTGCTTCCTACTGCAGGTACAGTTTTCTAACGATTTCACAACTTTACTGTCAATTTATAATTGAATTAGAACCTATTTATTTATTAATAAACTTTATCTTTCACCCTTCTTTGGACACAGAAAGGGGCAAAAGAGTTTGCTGATCTAAACATACTGAGGTCTCAAAGGCCCCGGCGTCGACGCCGACAGCCCCGCCCCTCAAGTTCATGTGGCCCCACAGGCTCCGGTGAGGAGGAAAAAGGAGGAGACAGCGACCACGATACCACCAGTTCCTCAGGTACACACACCAATGTACATAAACACAAACATACAAAACAAAATGTGCATATCCACACCTTAAAGGCAGGGTAGGCAGTTTGTTTCTAAAACACTTTTTCCCAAATTTGTTTAAACTGTCTTTATTTACCAATACATATCTAAAATGTAAGTACTCTGAAAAGGAGAGTATAAAAATAAAAATCGAGTCCTCTCAGGGCTGCAATAAACACAGCTACTCTTTCCATTCGGAACGAATGCAATGATTGGCTGGGCGACTGTCACTCTCCCTCGCTACCATGGCTACCACCCCTGCTGCTACAGGAGCTGCCCACATGCGCGGACCCGGTTGACTCGCTCATTTCGAAAGAGGAGAGGCACGTACTGGCCGGAAGCTAGAAAGTCTCGCAATTATGGCAGAAAAAGAGCAGTCAAAATTCCCAGTACCACCTGTACCTGCATATACAGTCAGCACAGGCAAAAAAGGTGATGTCACTCCATGCACTGCGCTCCTCTCCGCTTGGCGCTGGTAAACGCGTCCTCCAGCTGAGCAGTCGGCATCACGCGTTCATGTGTTTTGGGGGTGTGGCTTTGGAAGGAGCCCAGAAGGGAGGGAGTTTCTCTGTTGGATACTTTCAAAATCCAGCAGTTTTCTGCTAGTTTCTCTACCCTGCCTTTAATGTACAGTCACAGTGGATAAAGGGTTAATAAAGACCAAAAAAAACACACAGGCAAACTTTACATTGCTAAAAATAGATTGCCATAATAAGAAAATAACTCTTGTCCCATTGAGGTGTGTTGTAAATGGAAGCTTGTTTCCCCCACAGAATAAAAAAAGAAAAAAGGTTATTGCAACTTTTTGTCACAACTTTTTTTTTCAGAATTGAGAGATAATATCTCATAATTCTGACTTTATAAGACACAATTGCGACTTTATATCATGCAATTCTGAATCAAGACGTAAACTCGCAATTGTGAGATAAAAAGTCGCAATTATCTTTTAAAATGTTTTATTCTGTGGCGGAAACAAGCTTCCATAGTTGTTTAATTTTTGCCTGTTGGATGATAAAATGTAGCCTGGATGCCAGCCCGAACCCCGCCCACAACATTTTTTGATCGGGAAGTTCGGTCTGGACTCGCTCCATTGAGGAGTAATTATGAGCGGTTCAGAAATCGTCGGGCCAATCAAATTGCCAGGGCGGGCTTTATACGATGATGGACAGATGATCTGCAGGGACGTAATCCTCACGTTATCAAAGAGCGCTTGGGTTGAACTGGTTTCCCTCACAGATGACTGCCGCTGGAGAACTGAGATGTAGAGATTCCGCTATCGCGTCCGTTGTAAAAGAAATCGACAGCGCATTCATTTTAAAAGACGAACATAGAACTGCAATCAAGGCATTTGTCGATCGGAAAGATGTGTTTGCCGTCCTTCCTACGGGATTCGGCAAAAGTTTAATTTATCAGCTGGCTCCGAGGGTAACTAAGAAGATGGGACGCAATGAAAGCCCTGTGGTCGTTGTGGTTTCTCCTTTGGTCGCACTCATAGAGGGCCAAGTAAAAGAAGCAACACTCGTTATTTTACTTCTTCCAGCGTGCGTGCATTTGAGTTCTGTAGTTGACAACTGTGCTATGCAAAGTAGTTGACTTACTGCGTTGCTCTCATTGGTTGTAGGTCTATCCAATTGAGTGCAGAGTTTTTTTTGTTCCTGGTTCGGTTAAGACACGCCTCATAATCAAAGCCCTGTGAAGCAGTATCAGACTCACATTCTGACTAGAATATGAGTATGACGAAGTCAGGCTAGATAAAATGAGCAAAATGACCGTTCTGGTTATCAGCTGATATTAAGATTTTTTTTTTAAAATTTTATCGGTATCAGTTAGTATTGCATATTTAATTTTACATAATCTAATGCATAATCTAAAGCATCCTTGCTGAATAAAAGTATTAGTATCTTAAAAAAGAGACACCTAACTTTTCTATTCAGTTCTGATTCACTTCAGTAAAGATTCATCCAACACACTGGTAGACCGACATGATGTTTTGGATAAAAACCTCACATTTACCTGTGTGAATGTTTGTGTGTCAGAGAGTAATTCTCAGTGTCCCAGTCCCACCAAACTGAGACCAGGAGAGGAAGAAGCTGAGGAGTCCAAGCCGCCTCCTCAGTGGGGCGGAGCAGAGGAGTCTCTGTTTAGAGTCCTGCACGGCACATATTACAACAACTTCTGCTCTATTGCACGACTGATTGGCACCAAGACGTGTAGAGAGGTATGTTCAAAAATGACAAAGAACAGGTGGTCAAATATGTAACTTTGGCTTGTTTGATAATGTACCTTTGTAAAGGAGTACATTACTGCAGATTTAAAGTGAATGCAATTATATTGAAAGTGCAGAAAGTTCTACAGAATTTACTCAAAAGCAAAGACTGTTTAAATGTAGGACTGTGTGCCTGTGAGTTTTTCCCAGAAAGACGTGGTTTGTCTAACTGGAAATGTGATTACCTCAAATCGTGTGTTTTTCTTTTTTTTAGGGAATGGTCCAAATCTTTTTCTAGAAGAGCCTCGTTTTGAGTGTGTGTGTGTGTGTGTGTGTACGCGGGCTCATATGGCAAAGATCAACATGATAATGAGCGGTTACGTCTCAGTTGGGTTTCAAAGTACTGACTAATGCCCATTAAGTGATGCAGTGTGTGTGTGGGAATGTACATGTGTTCCAATTTTTCTGTCTGTGCTTATGTCTCTGTTTGTGTCAGGTCTACGAGTTTGCAGTGAAAGAGATGCTGATTCACCGTGTTCCACTGGAGGATGGTGGGATCTCACCTCAGAAGAAAAAACGAAAGCACAGGCAAGATGTTCACACACCCTCCACCTTCACCTGCCTAATAGATTCATGCTGTAGTTAGTAAGATACGAACATACGAAGATACAAAATACGAACACTAGAGTTCAACAGTGTTTCTGTGTTTTTTTTGATAGATTATGGGCAAAGATACAGCTGAAGAAAGGTAAGACTCTCAACTGAAACACCAGACTGAGACGTGGTTTCAGTGGCTTGGCAGGTTCAGGAATGGACAAACAGAAGGAAAAGTCATGGAGACTTCTATAGTTGGGGCGATTATGACATTATGGCTGGCAATTAGTAGTCAAACAAAACAGACCATTAATTTTATAATTGCAATAATTTGTCTATGTGCATTACATTGCAAGCTTACATAACACAACATAATATTCTAAATGTTTCAGTACTTTATATAACATTTAATATATTTTAAGCATTTAAAATGCATAATTCTTAACGCAATTCACAGTTAATTAATGCATTAGGTATTGTGAAATAACAAGGAACAACAATTTAATTAAATTTAAATCAAATTTATTTTTCTCTGTTAATGTTCGAAATGTTTGTTTTGTTTTTATTTTTTAAATCTTTATGCAGCAGTCACAAATGACTGGAAACATAATGGAATGTTTTGTTCAAATTGCTTGGGAACCTTGGTTATTTCTCTTCTTTATCTCCCTGTTTGTTGTGCAGACAACTCATCCAATCAAGTGTACAATTATCAGCCATGTGACCACCCTGAGCACCCGTGTGATAGCTCCTGTCCATGTGTGGTGACACAAAACTTTTGTGAGAAATTCTGCCAGTGCAATCGAGAGTGTGAGTTCAACACAAATGTATATGCACACACATGCAAATACATGAAGTATATACATGAGTTCCTTAATATCTGCACACCACTAGGGGGCGACAACAAAACAACATCAGACCACTAGTGATGCATTGCAGTGAAGAAATTAAACACTTTCTTTAAAAAGTCACCATACCATTTTGACCTTTGCTCAAATTAAGTCATTTTGAACATTTATTTATTTTATTTTAGTTACATCTCAAACATTCACAGGTCACTCTGTCCTAGTTTTGCTCTGTGTTTTGGTTCTAGGTCAGAATCGGTTTCCTGGCTGTCGCTGCAAGACTCAATGTAACACCAAGCAGTGTCCGTGTTACCTGGCTGTGCGGGAGTGTGACCCTGACCTCTGCATGACCTGTGGGGCCGCAGATCATTGGGAAAGCAAACAGGTCTCCTGCAAGAACTGCAGCATCCAGAGAGGACTCAAGAAGGTATGAATGAACTACTTTTCAGTGACACTGTGAATAATCAACACGTGTGTCTGTCTATCTGTCTGTGGTGGACAGTAACAAATGTATGCACTAATCTTTCTTATTAGTGCTGACTTCTGATTAGTGCTGGCTAGAAAATATATATGTGGTGCATCAATCAGTACTTTTTACTTTTACTGGAGTCATATTTTAATAGGGTATCTATACTTTTATTACTCGAAGTACTTGATTTGTGTACTTCCTCCACCACTGCCATATATCTATCTATGTAGTTTTCATCCAGTATGGTACATGCTGATAATCAAAGGGAAATAACTGAAAAAGAAGATGCTTTAGTCATGTGAATGTTGTTTAACCTGTTTGCCAGCACCTGCTCCTGGCCCCATCTGATGTTGCAGGGTGGGGTACATTTATCAAAGAGCCAGTCCAGAAGAACGAGTTAATCTCTGAGTACTGTGGAGAGGTGTGTGGAAATAAGCATTAGATTCTGTGATTCTTCTGTTACATTCTTAGTGATCTGATTAATGCATTGTGTTTATATGTGTGTGTGCGCGTGTGTCTGTGTGTGTGTGTGTGTGTGTGTGTGTGTGTGTGTGTGTGTGTGTGTGTGTGTGTGTGTAGCTTATTTCCCAGGATGAAGCAGACCGGAGGGGCAGAATCTATGACAAGTACATGTCCAGCTTTCTGTTCAACTTGAACAATGGTACTGGCTAGATTCATTATGTTATATTATATTATATATTGCATTATATTATATTATATTATATTATATTATATTATATTATATTATATTATATTATATTATATTATATTAAATTATATTATATTATAAATTGGTTTTCACAAGTGTTTTCATTTTATTCCAGACTTTGTAGTGGATGCCACTCGAAAGGGGAATAAAATACGATTCGCCAACCACTCTGTCAACCCCAACTGTTACGCAAAAGGTACTTTATTTAATCATAATTATTAATGTGCAAAGACAACATTGAGTTGAAGCTATTAAGCACGTCTGACACTGGTTATTATTGCAGTTGTCATGGTTAACGGTGATCACCGCATCGGAATCTTTGCCAAGCACTCCATACAACAAGGAGAAGAGCTCTTTTTTGATTACAGGTAGGTTTTGTTAAACACTCATGTGTTTAACAAAGGGGGAGAGTGTAATGACCTGATCAATATCAGTCAATTATTTTGTCTTATTTCTGAAATATGTGGGTTATTTTATTTTGTTGGGTTTGATAAAGTGCTTAATTCATATGCAATTTATGGTAAGGTATAAAAGTTATTGAGGTAGCTAATGCCTAGTTGTTGACAATGTAATAAGATTTATCATTTAATTACCCTTGCGCTGTTCATATGTGCCCTGGTAATTTAACAGTTAAGTTGTGTTTTCTTCAAAATGTTTTAAGGATGGTTCATTACATAGGAAAAGCTCACTAATAAATGTGTTAATGTTAGAGATTTAGTGACTAATAAAGTATCCTGTTGAACTATGCGTAATCACGCGAGAGAAGAAAACGGGAAGAAAAAAAGTTGGGCTGAGCACGAGGGCTAGTCTGCTACTAACACGTCTGCTACTAACACGAGTTTGTGCACGTAACGTTTTAAGTTGAATTGTAATTTGTTTATCGGACACCGCGCTCTCTGTGTAGGAGTTTGTGACTGTGGGACTGTGAAATACCGCTGGAGATGTGTGGTTTTGTACTGTGGAACGAGCTTAAGCCCAATTTATACTTCTGCGTCGAACTCACGCCATAGCTACGTCATAGGCTGTGTGTAGTGCGCGTACCCTTTGGCGTACCCTGATGTGCACCTCTCCTAAAATGTAACAACGTGTCAATTCTACGTGTACCGCAAGCGCTGTGATTGGTCTGCTAGAACCGCTCCCCGGGTTTCACATGCTCCCTCTGCATGTGTAATTGCACGTCAACGCGCACAACGACACAGAAGTATAAATGAAAACCAACGCGTAGTTTATAGCGTAGAGGCTCCGGCGTAGGTCCGACGCAGAAGTATAACTCAGCCTTTAGACCTGTTAGCCTCTCTGGCTAAGTTAGCTCGTGGCTTTGCGGTACTGTGACACCATCGTGGGAGGGACCGCAGACACACCGCTCGCCTGCTGGACGAGAGGAGACCACGTCGGGAAGAGTTTCGTCCGGCTGACGCAGGTGTTTTCCTTGACTGGGGACTGTTTGGCTGTCGGTGCTGGACGGACGAAGCTGCTTAACCCTCGCTGTGCCGCTGCAGACGGAGTCGTCAGACAAGAGAGAGAGTTACAGACGTGGTAGGATCTGGGTCTTTCACTCCACGTAAGGAGGTATTGTTGCTTTCTTCACTCTATGAGCTCCAACATTAAGCGCGCCAACGAACTAATGCAGGCCTGCTAAAAGAACAAAACTAAAAGTGCACTCAGGTTATCACAGACCATTGACTTTATTACCCGGGTCTTTTCAGATTGTTTCTGTTTATTTTCATATTTGTTGTTCAAATGTTATGTGATTTTTTTTTTTGTTGCATAATACAAAGGAGGAAACTGAGGTATTGTGTTTTGTTGTTTGTTTCATCACATGCTCATGTATCTGTGTAGACCAGTATTTTCTGTGGTAATATTCGGTTTTAAAATCAAGATTATTCCTTCAGTCACTCATTGATTAGTAGAGAGAGAGAGAGAGTGAGAATCATAGTGTTCCTAGACAGGTTTATCATACAATGGGATGTCTCTTTCACCATTTTACCAAGCATTAGGGTTAAAAGGGTTTAATACTTTATATGTCGCTGTATAATGTATTTGCCTCATCACGAGCCTATGGTGAAAAGGGTTACATTTTTGGAGGCTCGTCCGGGATTGTTGTAGAGTTGTAATATCCCTCAGTGTTGTGTGCAGATTTAAAGTCCCCGTGAACCGGAAGTTGCAAACGACTTTTCTCCAGTGTTGTGACGTATTTCCGGGAGAAACGGAATACTAAATGAGGTAAAATAGTGGGCGTGGCTTTTTTCCAACTAGCACCTGATTGGATCTAGAAAAGTAGGTGTTTTCATTCAGCCTGTCTACTGTCAGTTGGAGGGGCGTGATTACGGATGTTAAGCAGACACCCAAACCGTCAAACCTACCTCATCAGGGAAGGTCCTCCAATGCAGAGGGGAGGGGAAATTTCAGATTTTGATTAAAGATTACGAAGCCAAAAATTTTTTTTGTGTGGATTGACTTGCATGGATGAATTGTTCACCACAAAACGATCAATTTAGGCAAACAAAGTAAGTATGGTCAATTTTGAATTCATGGGGACTTTAAACCTGCCATTGCAGTCTCATACTGAATATTTGAGTGCCAATGTCACAGATGATGTTCTGCTTCAAGCTTTGACTCTTGTTAAAGCTTTTGGAACTGCTAAAATAGTTGATCGCTGTCTAGATGTAGCTTCCAAAACCCAGTTTGTGTTGATTCGGTCATCCACTGATCTTACTTAGCAGACTATACCTGACTGTGTTGGGCTCCCTTGAGAGGCTGGTCCTTGGCCTTTTCATGTGCTCCCTGCTCTTGCGGAAGGCGAAGATTTTGAAGCCAAGCAGTTGTCCTTTTTGAGGCATGAAGGAAAGACTATTACTGATGTTAAAGGCTTGCTTAACCCTTCGCCGCTTGACATGAACACTGCCCTGATCAATGCCATAAGTTCCCTGATGGACAAATGTAACACGGCACCTGCTTATATTTAAAGTTACAGGAAGCTCTGCATGTTTTCTGGTGTGAGACCCACCCCCAGTGGGGAAGAAGAGTATGACGCTTGGGCAGAGCAGACAATGCATTTATTGGAGGAATGGCAATGCAGTGACAATGTGAAAAAACAGAGGATAGTGGAAAGTCTTAAAGGTCCAGCTGCTGACATTTTCTAAGAGCACAGAACCCTTCTGCTACTTCATATGACTACATGCAAGCTTTGGAGACAGCTTTTGGAACAACTGAAAGTCTATCTGATCTTCTTATTAGATTCCGACACACTCTTCAATGTGAAGGTGAGAGGCTGTCTACCTATTTGATGAGGCTAGATAAACTGCTACACTGTGTGTTCAGGAAAGGAGGGGTGCAGCTGTCAGAATTGAATCAACTTCGCATCGAGCAGATTGTGAGAGGTGCCTTGCCACAAGACATGATTGCCCTTCGCATTCGCATGACACACAAGCTGCGTGAACCACCTACCTTCAGTGACTTATTGAAAGAGGTCAGAGAGGAAGAGAACATGCTTCAAAGTAGGAATGATGTCAAAAGCCCAGTGATGTCAAGACTGTTACTCCTGTCCCCAGGCCCACTCCTGAAACTAAAGTTGATCCTGAAGTGGAACAACTCAGAAGAGACATTACTGTTATGAAAGCAGTAAGCAGCCTTAAACCTGCTACAGTAACATCCCCGTCAGACACCCAAGGTCCACAATTTGAAATCCCTGCCAAGGCTAAACACAGGAGGAATGACATCCTGCAAAGAGCTGGCACTGAGGAAGATAGGTCTTGGATATTTTGCTATAGATGTGGGGAGGATGGACATTTCAAAAGGGTATGTGATGGTGAAGAAAATCTCAATAGGGTCAACAAGCGCCTCATCAAACTGACAAAGAAGTCGGGAAACTACCGCGGGAACCAGTTAAGGAACGGCCTGGCTTCCCTGTGGTGAAAACACGTTCCACCAAGTGCATTAAACCAGACGAGAAAGTGGAAGACACTATACCTGAGGGCTTAGTGGGGCCAAGCTCTGCTGTACCAGTGCAGATTGAAGGCATTTATGCTAAACCCATACTCGATACTGGTTCTCAAGTGACTTTGCTGTACAGATCCTTCTACGACAGATACTTGACACACCTGCCATTTACACCTATCAGTGCCTTGCAGATATGGGGCCTCAGTCCTGCTGATTACCCATATGATGGCTATTTGTCACTTAAGCTGGAGTTTTTGGAAGCTGACGTTGGAGTGACTGAGACTATTGATGCCCTTGTGTTGGTGTGTCCTGACCCAGTTGTGAGAGGTGGAGCTTTTATACTTGTTGGCACAAACACACCGACTGTGAGACGACTACTGAAGAGCTGTAAAGAGAGAGTAGGAGAGAATTTCATCAGCAGCATGCACATTCATCCCGCTTTCAAAAGGGCTTTTGAACAGTTGTCAGAATGCCTACTTGATGATGATGATGACAACCACAAGAGAGGAACTGTGTGGTTCACACAAAGTAAACCTGTTACTGTGCACCCTGGAGGGGTAGCTCGAGTGACAGGTGTGCCAAATTTTCAAGGGATTCCAAGTGCTCAAGCCATTCTGGTGGACTCACCTGACGAACCCGGCGATGATCCAAGGTTTCCAGCTTTTGGTCAGACCAGAGTTGCAGTCACCCACCGTTGTAATGTCTAAGAAAATCACTGTGCTGGTCAGGAATGTATCGAAAAAAGAAATTACATTGACCAGAGGAATGCCGGTTGCTCACCTGTTTCCAGTAGATGTGGTGTCATCGTCTTCTGTAAGCCAAAAGTCTAACACTGAGTCAGCAGGAAAATTGACCCCGTCCTCCTTTAACTTCGGAGATTCACAAGTCCCTCAGGAGTGGAAGGAAAGATTGCTGGGCAAAATGATGGAACGACATGAGGTTTTCTCTACCCATGAGTTTGATGTTGGCTGCTGTAAAAATGCATATCACGCTATCAAAACCTCTGAGGACAAACCTTTTCGAGAGAGGTCTCGCCGACTGGCGCCTGCTGATCTAGAGGCATTGAGACAACATCTGTCACAGCTTAAAGATGCTGGGATCATCACCAAATCAAGAAGTCCTTATGCCTCACCTATAGTGGTGGTGAGAAAGAAGACTGGTAAAATAAGGATGTGTGTGGACTTCAGGACCCTAAATCGACGCACTGTTCCAGATCAGTACACAGTACCAAGGATCGAAGACGCACTGGCCTGTCTCAACGGAAGCAAGTGGTTTAGTGTGCTAGACCTCCGGAGTGGATATTATCAAGTGGCTATGAGTGATTCAGATAAAGAGAAGACAGCCTTCATCTGCCCAGTGGGTTTCTATCAATTTGAAAGGATGCCACAAGGAGTGTCAGGGGCTCCAGCAACCTTTCAGCGGATCATGG